TCAATTTTTCATTGGAAAACCAGAGAAACAAACAAACAACATCTTATAGCTAACAGGGACAGTTTTGGTTCTCAGAGTTTTTTTAATGAAAACAACTTTTGGAGGAAACCACACACTTTCCCCAACGTATTTACTGGAAAACTTTTGACCAGCCCTAGTGGCCTGGGGCTCCACTTCTACTAAGAATTAAGTATCTATCTTGTGTAACACCAAGGTACCACATCATGATATGAAAAGTCCAAAATTCCTGGCACAAGTTGCAGTAGTTGGCACGAAAAGATTACAGAATATTACCATTCAGTTTTGCTAAGACTATGCTATATCATTCCTTTCTAAATTAATCACTCAGCTTTTTCTAGTTTTAGTATGCTATTTCAGACAGAGTGGAAAGGTGACTTTACCAGAATTGAATGGAGAAACTAGATGGAAAAAAAGCGAAAAATTTGGTACAAAAAAACCCTGCTGACACTAAAGATGCCTCTGAATATGGAACAGCCCTAGTGGGAGTTAGTGGAACACTCCATCAGTTTTAAAACTAGATTGAAAAAATCAGAAGAAAACATAATACAGGGAATTCTGTGCTGATTCTGTGCTGGAAGATTTAATTATCTGTCAGTGGATTTTAATTTTGTCAAATTTACATAACCCATGAAATGGAGCAATCTTATCCAGAATCATTCTTTACTTGTACAAATGGAAAGGCAAATTGAGAGAGCATCAGATCTAACAATCTTTCTCATATTATGACTGTAATACTAAACATACTAGAAGAGAGGGCAAGAATGTCAGTCACCCTGCAGCACATCTCTATTTGGGTCAGAAGGTCTTTCATAATTTCATAGTTTCTAGGGTCGGAAGGGACCTGAGCAGATCATTTAGTCCGACCCCCTGCCATGGCAGGAAGAGCACTGGGGTCAAATGACCCCAGTAAGGTGGTCATCCAACCTCCTCTTAAAAACCCGCAGGGTGGGAGCCTGCACCACCTCACTTGGAAGCTGGTTCCAGACTCTAGCCGCCCTGACCGTGAAGTAGCGCCTCCTGATGTCCAACTTAAACCTTCCCTCCGCCAGCTTGTGACCGTTGTTCCTGGTCACTCCTTGCGGCGCTCGGGGGAACAGGGACTCCCCCAGCGCCTGCTGATCCCCCCTAACCAGTTTATAACAGGCCACAAGATCCCCCCTCAGCCTTCTCTTTTGAAGGCTGAACAGGTTCAGGTCCCGCAACCTTTCCTCATAGGACCTACCCTGCTGTCCCTTGATCATACGAGTGGCCCTCCTCTGGACCCTCTCCATGCTGTCCACATCCCTCTTAAAGTGCGGCGCCCAGAACTGGACACAGTACTCCAGCTGCGGCCTGACCAGTGCCGCATAGAGGGGGAGGATCACCTCCTTGGACCTGCTCGAGATGCATCTGTGGATGCACGACAAGGTGCAGTTGGCCTTCCTAACCGCCTCCCCACATTGCCGACTCATGTTCATCTTGGAGTCAATAATGACTCCCAGATCCTTTTCCACCTCCGTGCTGACAAGGGGGGAGTTCCCCAGCCTATATGTATGGTGGCGATTGTTCCTCCCCAGGTGCATCACCTTACACCTACAGTCTTAAGACTGTTTTGTACCTGGTGCCGGTAAAACCCAGGGCTTTTGCCTGTTATGAGATATTGTGCCACATTTCTAAAACATTTAGATACATAAACATGAAAACTAGCGGGTAGTGCAATTTACAGAGTCACCTAAGTGAGTTAGGCACCTAATTTTCAATGACCTATAGAGATTAGATATCTAACCTGCTAGACTCCTTTGCAAAACTTACGTAATGCCATTTCCACATTTAAGTGCCTAAATAACTTCCTAAATCTGCCATTATCCATTAAATGAATCATACAGAAAGTCACACCTCTGGTGGCTGCTAAAATTGTTTAATATTTTTTAATGGGGGAAAAAGGGAAAATCACTTACATGGGTGTAGACAATATTTTTTAATAATACAGTTGAGAACGAGCTATTGCTGAACTATAAGCACTGTGACCAACCAACAGTTGCATGATTACTTTGTTAGATTCTTTAGAATGCCATACAGACATGCAGTATGGAGACACTTTATTCACTTATCCCTCAAATACAAAAGCCCCTCTATTCAAACATGGTTTGGGAGATGATCCAACAAATCAGTTTCAAGAATGCTCTTCATTTAGCTGGAGTGGCCACTGATTAGTAATGTGAATGTGTGAAACAAAAATATGTCCCACTGCAAACCACACGATCAGGGGCATGCAGTGCATCACAAACTAAGGGCACAAATGTGTGTCAATACTATTTGTGCTGCTGCAAACTCAAACCATCACTTGTGTGGACTTGGCCAATATTATCCACATTGTCTGATGTGATGTGACAAATCTCATATTTGTTTCAAGACAGACAAGGTTCTTTGGGTAAATCCAATATCTTTTATTAGATCAACTCAAATAGTTGGAAAAATTCTTCTTTGCAAGCTTTCAAGTACAGTTACTAGGCCTGTGCAAATAAAGAAGTATTCGATTTGGATTCAGTTTGGCCTATTCAAACATTGTTTGGGAGATGATCCAACAAATCAGTTTCAAGAATGCTCTTCAGTTAGCTGGAGTGGCCACTGATTAGTAATGAGAATGTGTGAAACACAAATGAGGCCCCTCATTGCACAAAAGCAGGATCACTAGGTTATCTCCATTCAAATGATTTCTAACAATATAATCCTCAGTCCTCTTCCATAGAAAAGAATAGAATAAACAGAAAAAAATATTGCTTTGTTCCTAACATCTTCCCAGCTTCAGTATCGTTCATTATTTTGTATTTTTTCTATTTCTATGTTATGCATGGTAAGATCTAGAAGGTATTCTTTCCTTCCATCCTGGAAGACCAATGCACTCCCAAGTCAGCAAGGTATTTTTTGGACTATATTTACACACTGTTCCAAAGCATCAGACATGATATTAGACTCAGTGGCCAGATTCAGAAGTGCAGGCATGTGCAGTTTGTGGTGCCATAAACCTCTTTGCAGTGCTACAAACCACACATATTGCATCATAAACTGTGCATGGTGCTGCTAATTTGCAGTACTGGGGCAAATTTGGTACTGAGATTTCCTGATAGCAAAAAAAAAAAAAAAAAAAAGAGCACAAAGCACACCAAAATGCTGTGCGCCAGGACAAACACCAGGAAGTGGCACGTGGAGATGGGGGAGCAGGGAGCCCAGGGCTGTCTGCTCCCCTATCTTAAGGTACTCTGTGCCCCAGCCAGCTGGGGAGTGGCTCGCTGGGATGCAGGGTGTTTAGTGTGAGGGCTCTGCAGCACATGGGAATGGGGGAACAGGCACCCCAGGGCTCATCTGGTTGCCTGCTTCCCTGTCTCCACACGCTGCTCCTTGGCTTACTGAGGCATTGGATACCTCAGCGTGGGGATGCCTGCTGCTAGCCCTGCACCAAGGCAACCTGGAACCCAGCCAGTCCCCCATTCAGCCCATGAAACAGGGGGACAATAAGTCCCACTGCAAACCACACGAGCAGGGGCATGCACTGCATCACAAACTAAGGGCACAAATGTGTGTCAATACTATTTGTGCTGCTGCAAACTCAAACCACTGCTCGTGTGGACTTGGCCAATATTATCCACATTGTTTGATGTGATGTGACAAATCTCATATTTGTTTCAAGACAGACAGGTTCTTTGGGTAAATCCAATATCTTTTATTAGACCAACTCAAATAGTTGGAAAAATTCTTCTTTGCAAGCTTTCAGGTACAGTTACTAGACCTGTGTAAATAAAGAAGTATTTGATTTGGATTCAGTTTTGGCCGATTCAGAAGACAATGATTCAATTCAGAAATTTGGATCATTGTCCCAATTGATTCGGCCAAATCGGCTTCAGAAGATTTGGCGATTCGGCCATAGACTATAATGGGGAATCACTGAAATACCTGTAACTTTGTCAGTTTTTGGCAGATTTGGATGAAAACAACAGCAAAGGTAGCCCCTTCTGAGGGCATGAAGCCTGACAAGTTTTAAGGATATAGGTGCAGGGGTTTCTGGAAAACTACACCTCAAACTGCTGAAAGCAAAATTTGCATCACTTGTGTGTGTTAAGGCAGATTTGGATGAAAACAGCAGGGATGGTAGCCTGTAACTGGGGGCCTTCCTGGTGCTGGTTAGATCGCTGCTCACCTACCTGTTTCTGGGCCAGCCGCTCACCCCTCTTTAGCTCAGGCAGAACCAGCTCACAAAAGGGACAGAAAGGGTGCGGATAGAGGCTTATGTGCTGTTTCTACGTCCCTCCCCCAGAGCACTGGAATTGGAAGGGGACTCAGGGAAAGATCACAGTTATGGACCAGCTACACATGTAAGTCTTTCCCCACCTGTTCCCCCTCTCTCTTCTCAGTTTCTGTTCCTCTGAAAGACTGCCTTCTGAATCTTGGAATCTTTTTCTGAATCGATTCAGAGGTTTTTTTTTGGTCTCCTGATTTCATTCTGATTCAGTCTGAATCAGGCCAAATCTTCTCCAAATCAAATTGGTGGCTAAAGCTTTGCACACCCCTAACAATTACCCTTCATCAGGCAGAAAGGAAGCATCTGCCGATGGTCTGCCTATGTCCTTAGACCAACCAGGCTACAACTGACAGCCCTGAAATATTCCTTTAAATGGATTTTCAGCACTATCTTGATTTCTACTGAGACTTTCTGCAAGGGGAGTGGTACTATGATATCTAGCTTCCATTTTCAACAAAAAGAGGTGAAAACATGAAGTTCTTTTCTCACTGGTGAATGCCAAGTGTTTATAATACCTCTGGTGTGAAGGCTACAATTAGGTTCTTGATTATCTTCAAGGAGCTCAAGTCAGGCACACCCATGTAACAGGAAAACAGCATCAGCATGAATGAATGCTATGAGGGTAAACACATGTCTGTGTGTGCAAGACAGAGTGAAGGATGAATGACTGACAGCTTACTTCAGTGATGCCATGTTTTATTACCTGTTGAGAGAAACAGGATTTTGCCGATTGTTCTGTGTAGCCAAACGAAGGACCCTCAAAGACCGCAGTAGGCAATTTAAGAACCTCCCGCAGAAACGTGTCATACTTTCCATAAACCATCACTCCACTGGAATCTGAAATCATTGAGAAAATATCTGAGGGGGAAAAAAGAAATGCAAGAAAAGGAAAGGTTTACTTTAGTTTTAGACATATGTCTGCTCTTAGCTCAGTAATATTTGATGTGAAAGTAATGTGATTATAGACAATTATGCTCAGTTTGTGGAAAACTCCATAAACCGTTTGCACCTTTACTTTTAGCCAGCTTGCCAGAAGCAAAATAAAAATGTGCATGTGAGCATTGATCCAATGTTTACGTTAAAATATTCATGCATTCTCATGGCTTTGTGATGTCATTCTTTTGTAGCTGGTGCCTTATGCCTGGCATAAGGCAGTAACTTAGTCAGCTACAATGGATCTAATTTGACAAAATGTGCACCATCAAATTTTTGCCCAGAAGCAACTTACCCTTTCAAATCTAAACTTTGGCCGAGTTTATTGTGTTGTTTGTTATTCTTGGGACACACAGATCAATGAACTTATTTGAAATGCTCTATTTGATTTTAATAACTTTTTCTGTCTTTTAATTATAATAATATAACTTGTACCGTTATTAATTATTCTACAGCTTCACATTTCCCTTCTTTTGTTTTTGTTGTTTTCAATGGAAAAATCCACTTTCTGACTTAAGAACTGTTTAGTAGGATTCAAGGCTTGGTAGAATATTCTACCTTCAGAAACCACGAACATATTTTAGACTGTGGTGGATCACCTGTGCAATTCTAAATGATAGAGTATCACCCTAAATGCATGTGAATGGAAACGTCAAGCCCTGGAGACTGCTACTGGAAAAACAGTGTGGCATGATAGCCTGCCACTTCATAGGTTCTGTTGCTTTAATAAGAAGGCAAAGGGAAACCAATATCTGTCCCTAGTGTCTACCTGTACCCAATTTATGTACAAACAATATCTGTCTATAAATGAGGAGAAAAAAGAAAAAAAATCATTTCACTCTAGATAAGATGAGCCAAAGGACAACAGCGTGGGCAACTGCTGCTTCCCGAATCTGTGG